TATGTATATATATATATATATATATATATATATATATATATATATATATAGTCTGGACTTTCCAAAGTACTTTCATAAGCTTTGATAAATCAACAACTATTCATATTTCATTAGTCAATCGTCAGTGGGTAAGCTTTTTTAGAGCCGTCAACTGGATATCTCCATGACCGGTTGTACAACTCACTGCCCCAAAATAAGAGTTTAACAGGAGTCTAAGCATTTTAGTTGGATACAGGCATGGGGTGTTTGGAACTAGTCGATTAGTGTTCTATTCGGTCACTGTTCCATTGTGATAAGCTTGAACATTTCGCCCTAGAAACTTTCCAAGTTTCTTTATTCTACTTCCAGTGAGCTTCTGGATGACACTTTAACCACCTTCTCGGTTTTTGAGTGAAGGGAATATGCGCCTTTCAACACTGGTTGTGCTGAACTCTTCCAAGGGGTTCCACTCGCGTGAAGCTCAGAGCAACAGGCTGACTTGTTCCGTGGTTTCTAAAGATGAAACAGGAGTCTGTTGTGCGTTGTACAGGCTAAGTGAGACCATGGAAAGTAAAAGTAGGTTCACTGATATTTCAAAGTGTTCGCTAGAGTCCCAAGAACGGATTAAAACTCTGAATTAGTTTACTTTGTAGGCGAAGAAGGTCCGGAAGAACTGTTAGAAGGTGGAAAATTCAGCACATCATCATGGAACAGTGTTTAGCGTCAGTTTGAGTATGAAACAATTTTGAAACAACATACAAAACGAAAGGAATTCTGAGTTACGAGTAAACGAACAGTGCACATGGCCTCATATTCGGAGGCTGTTACCTGGAGATCGTAAACAAGCTATATATCATTAGTAGTGATGAAGAGCGCATCCATATGGACGAGTCAGACGCAGAAGTTCCACAGGCATTTGCTCTGTACACAGTGCTGTTCTCAGGTGTCATTTGGGCTCACACTGGAACGTCATATTGGCTGTCAACGCCTAGCGATCACTGAAGTGATACTGCACAACCAGATTCGTTGCCGTAATTGGAACACAACGAATGATCTTGGCTGCACCAGTGCATATCGTCCACAAGGATTTATCGCACTGTTTGCTGACATAGAGTTGTCAGACAACCATTGACGTCATTGCGCTTGTTCTTTTGTTCATGGCTATTAACTTGCTATCGTTTTGTTTTTATGTGTTCTGCATCCCATTCTGTCCGGTGTTGTCCGCTGCATCGAAACGAACCACCGTACATATACACGCTTGTTAGACTGAACTGCACAACGTAAGGGCGTACCTTGCTGTCAGCCAGACGGATCTATTGGTAGAAGACAAATTCAATACATCAATGACACCAAATTTGTTAGTACAGTCTTATTAGCCTATTAGCCACCCCACATGGTTGCCAGTACGTTTACGGAAACTTAATTTAGTTACTCACGATTTACAAGTAGTATATAATATATACATGTCATTCTAGGTTTGCCTTCACCCGTGATCTTAGTCCGAACCACGGAAGCATCAAGGTTTCTTAAAGATGGTCTACCTTTAGTGGACGGAACAGAGTACTTCACGCCAGGAAGTCATGTGAAAGATCAGAAACCAAACAGGCAATCTAAAAAGGGTGGAAGTATCCCAAAAACACTGTTAAACGGAGGACCAGTAATGTGGTTGAGCTTAATTATCGGTCGTTCTTAGTGCTGCTTGTGTGCGTTAGTATCCGTTTACTACTAGGTGCTGGTAACAGCACTTAACAGAGGTCACACAATCCACTATTCAAATACGGTTTATTGGCCGATGATGGAAGCCCGTCTTCTAGAATGTTAAGGAGCATTCCATACCTAGTAGGGCCAACTACCCCGCCGAACACATCTGGATGGCTGTTTCATTTCAAAGATCTTTAATTTAACGAGCTCTTCTTGCCGTGATGTTGTTGCCTTAGACTTATCTGGAATTGTAGGCGATGAGTTTAAGATATTTCAGGGTTTATTGGTTGATCGACTATGCCCACAACCGAACACGACGGCCACTTAAAATGAGCAATATTTCACCTGTCTCACAAAATGGAGCGTAGCACATAAATGCTTACTACTGCATCTAAGAGTGAGAAATTTCAGTGGCGAACTTACCAGGTGCCTGATGCACATGGTCCAAATGACCTTCTACTTTCCTCTGAAGGTTTGGGGGGTCACCAAAGAGCAAACTTCTTGAGTTTTCGGTGGAGCGAATAGCACCCGTTTTAATCATTTACGGTGACATCATTGGTTTCCTTCGAACATTCCCCAATTCACAACCCTCAGACCGCTCTCAGTAAGTCAGCTTGCATTAGTTACCATTCGAGACCTACACATTCATCCACTGATTTTACATGCCGAAGAATAGTTTGTACACGAACCTCAGTCATGATGACCTGTGCACCACGATTCACACACCCACTGTTGCTGTCTGAACAAACTTTGGATGGGTAACGTCCAGCCAGCCACTTGAATCCAAACTGAACTTGGAATTTCGCGCTTCATCATCATCATCATTGTCAGTTGTAATTACCACGTACTCGTTGTACAGTGGTTGTAGCTGCCACAGTTTCGTTTACCGATGATTGAGGATTGGGGGGGGTGGGGTGGGTAGCTGGGAATTGGAGGCGGGAGGTGATAAATTAGTGCGTAAATACAGCAGTCAGTCGACTGTTAAGTGGGGGGTTGGGTTGGGAGCTATGCGCTGAAGCTAATTGCTTGGATGCGTGAGCGCCATTGAGGGCGCAACTGGGTCATATCTGACAATGTCTCTAGCCATTGATGTGGCCCGTCTCGGGTTCCCCATCCAGGAGGACGGCAATGACGAGCGCTGTTCAGTTTGCTGGTAATAGCTTTCATACTTCGCTGCCAAGTCATCGTTTGGCCGCCTCTGGCTCTCTTACACCCTTCACGTGGCTGTGCGAAAAGAGCCCTTCGAGGAAGTCGGTCGACTGGCATACGCAACACGTGGCCAAGCCAGCGCAACCTATGCAGTTTGATCAGTTCATCTAGCGAGGGTGAATTATTTCTCCCGAATACCAATCGACGTACTTCAGAATTGCTGATCCGGTGTTCCCACCAGAATCGGGCAATGCTCCAAAGATATCGATGGTCAAACACTGAAAGTCTTTTGAGATCCTCGGCGCGCAGCGGCCGGGTTTCTGATCCATCTAGTAATATGGAGCGCACCGCAGTGACCTTGACCCTCGACGGATAAGCTGATGTCACGCCCACGCCACAGAAGACGCAGTTTCACGAAAGCTACTCTGGCCTTCCCAATCCGGATGAAAATATCATCTTTCTCGAGACCATTGGGACTGATACAGCTGCCCAGGTAAACAAATTTGTCTACTACCTCAGTCGTTTCATGAGGATAGGGTTCGAGCCCACCCAGTCTTGCAGTATCATACTTGCGCGCAATCACTACGTGACCTCATCAGCAATCAAGGCATGGTCCCTTAGATGAACCATGCATGAATAAGGCAAGCCAAGGAGTCGGCATAAAATCTGCATTGAGGAGCTAATAAAGTGTACCAACTATCTAGCGCAAATCCCTTTGATGAGTGCTCGGGCGGAGTTCGGAATGAAGTTATTGTTCCACCAACTTAGCTTCTGTTTTGTAGACATTGTATCTTCATACGCTTTCTGGCCTAGCCCATTTTACTGGGCTGCAATCAGCTGGAGAGTAGGAAGATAACCTCGCCAATCCAGTGCTTTCAAAAGATGGAACAGAAGCAAACTGGCGACGAAGTGATGACCAGCATATCTGACAATGTCTCTAGCCATTGATGTGGCCCGTCTCGGGTTCCCCATCCAGGAGGACGGCAATGACGAGCGCTGTTCAGTTTGCTGGTAATAGCTTTCATACTTCGCTGCCAAGTCATCGTTTGGCCGCCTCTGGCTCTCTTACACCCTTCACGTGGCTGTGCGAAAAGAGCCCTTCGAGGAAGTCGGTCGACTGGCATACGCAACACGTGGCCAAGCCAGCGCAACCTATGCAGTTTGATCAGTTCATCTAGCGAGGGTGAATTATTTCTCCCGAATACCAATCGACGTACTTCAGAATTGCTGATCCGGTGTTCCCACCAGAATCGGGCAATGCTCCAAAGATATCGATGGTCAAACACTGAAAGTCTTTTGAGATCCTCGGCGCGCAGCGGCCGGGTTTCTGATCCATCTAGTAATATGGAGCGCACCGCAGTGACCTTGACCCTCGACGGATAAGCTGATGTCACGCCCACGCCACAGAAGACGCAGTTTCACGAAAGCTACTCTGGCCTTCCCAATCCGGATGAAAATATCATCTTTCTCGAGACCATTGGGACTGATACAGCTGCCTAGGTAAACAAATTTGTCTACTACCTCAGTCGTTTCATGAGGATAGGGTTCGAGCCCACCCAGTCTTGCAGTATCATACTTGCGCGCAATCACTACGTGACCTCATCAGCAATCAAGGCATGGTCCCTTAGATGAACCATGCATGAATAAGGCAAGCCAAGGAGTCGGCATAAAATCTGCATTGAGGAGCTAATAAAGTGTACCAACTATCTAGCGCAAATCCCTTTGATGAGTGCTCGGGCGGAGTTCGGAATGAAGTTATTGTTCCACCAACTTAGCTTCTGTTTTGTAGACATTGTATCTTCATACGCTTTCTGGCCTAGCCCATTTTACTGGGCTGCAATCAGCTGGAGAGTAGGAAGATAACCTCGCCAATCCAGTGCTTTCAAAAGATGGAACAGAAGCAAACTGGCGACGAAGTGATGACCAGACAACAACATAGGTGGCCCCATAATCCTGTCGTGCCCACTTTGAGCATTTTAGTGTTTCGGCGTCAGTCGATCGGTGAATGTAAATTCGAAGGTCGGCTTTTGATGGGTTCTGTTCCCGGCTGTTCACCGACTAGGATTGGAGGTATGGTAGAAATGAGTTAGCAAACTGACGACAGAGATAAATTTCCACATTCATTATGAATGAAATGGATCTGGCCCACTTCGACCACTTTTTGTCCAAAACCGTGCGATCTCGCTTATGCGCACGGTTCGGTTGGTTACTCTCCATTCAGTCCATGCGGCGAAATTCGTTGGAAATCCACATCCGGTCAATTTTCAAAACATCTCAACCTAATTGGATTGAAATTGGCAGTCGGCTACCGATGGATTTTGTTTACTTTTCTTTTACTACTTATGAAAAAATAGTGGTTTGTTCAGCAAGGTTCAGAAAGATGTAACCAGAGAAATCCATAAGATGGTCACTGTATGAGAGTAATGTGTTGGTCACAAACAGCAAGCCAGCTTTCAAAAGCCGGGGTTCCCTAAGGAACCAGAGAACTGTCACAGTGTTAGTATAATTTGAGGCAGTCCAGTGGTTCCCATAGCTAAGATTACTAACTTAAAAAAAACCTGAGTACCACGAAAGACCTCGAATAATTGGCAAACCGAGATCACCACTCCTACTGGGCATCGTTTACAAGTTACGTTGGTTCGCTTCATCAAAGTTTGAGACAACGCTAGAAATGGGACACTGAAGGGACTGTGAGGCTACTAATTTGTGATGATAATAGGTGTGGTTGGTGATCATTGGCTACGGGCATGTTTTTGATCAGGAAGTCGAGTACAGCACATCTCTGGCAAATATGATGACGAAGATGAACTAACCTATACCATTCTGAGACTGACCGGTCAGGGATACAACCGATAAAGTCAATCAAGCCAGTAAAAAATTCGCATACTTGACAGCGTTTCACCATCAATACTGTTTAGTTAAAACCACAGAGGACAAAAGGCAAACGTAATGCGATGAACAAGCGTTGGATAAAGTGACAAAGATCACGTGGTTTGAGTTGTCCTTATTTCTGGACGGTAGATTGAAAGATGCAGAAGGTAGCGGCACATATGACGTTTATGCACACACACAAAAGTTAAGTCAGTCTGACTATGAGCACACAGGTGATCGATCCTATAAACGACAAACTGGCATCACCACAAGACCTGTTCAGTCTGGTTGATGGCATCTTATCACCAGTGCTCACACAATTTTGTAGAAATGCTTAGAACACCATTGTTCTTTCATAAAAGCCTCCGTATCTAGCCAGAAAGAAAACTGAACATGATCACGACGCAATAGGACACAACCGGATGCTAGTGCGACTAAACAAATTTCTGATCTGCGGCCCGAGGACCAACTGTGTGGTCGCCCTGGTGATCTAGGAAATTTTTGCATCGGATCAGATCAGGGCGCTGGCCGGCTGTGTTACGGCTATCTGATCAATGAACCATGGAGAATTACACCGAAAAAACGATTCGTCGTTTTTCCCTTTCCCTTTTGACCGAGAAGCCTTGCCACAGCTGGTATTCCAAAAATTTTCGATACCACAGCAAGCAACTCCCAACCGCATTTGCCTGATGCAATTGTCTTACAATAAAAGCGAAAGGGGATTTGACGGTGTCGGTGACCGGTGAAAATGTTCATTCAAAGAAAAGCAGGTGATGTGCCACTGCGCAGAACACATCTGAAACGAGGTACAAAACGCGAGGGAAGGGCAATGAACAACCAGGGTCATGGTGATTGGATGCAACGTAGGCGGAGGAACGGGAAGGTACGGAGAGGTGATAGTTAAGGGATTAACGGTCAAATCACAGAAACGTCAGTTGAACATGTTGTGGCGCCAGGAAAGGAACCAAACGAGCAGGAAAACGTACTGCGAAAGTACATTTTTTTCAGGCACATTAGTAAGGTGGATTAATGACACTCCTATTGTTTGTGATGCTTAAAGCGTAGTTGAAGAAGTGCGCGTCATACATGGCCAGCTGAACACCAAAAGCTAGCGACCATGGTACAGAGGACTGACCGAGGGAAGGTGCAGTCTGTGTGACAAGACAAACAAGGTACTGGCTCGTGCTGGTTTTTAAAGTCGTGCGAATAATCGATTTATGCGGAGGGTCCATTGAGCAAAGCTTTTGTAAAATCACGAAGATCCAGAAGCACCGTTCGACATTCTCAATAAAAACACGGTCATTTGTATGTTCACCAATATTACGAGATAGACAGCTGAGATATTTGTTTGCACAAGCTGGGCAAATCCCAAAAGACCAGATATCCATCGCGACCGATCGAGGAAACACGTGATGCCAGTTTGCGGTCACCAGAATATATACGAAGTTCACTGGAATAGACGGAAGAAATAAGGCAGGCAATGGAAACACGGGTGAAAATAGGAATAATATAAAAAGGTAAACCAGCCGAGCAGTTTTGACTAGTACTTATGATCGGGCAAAGAGATTCATCCTCCTTCAAACTTTACCGAGCAGGTAGTTTTAGTTGACCAAGTGCTTTCTGACGAGCAACTTCAGCCTGTCAGAACCTATACGTCTCGGGTGCCTTTTGCTGCACAAGGGATGGGAAACACTATGGACCGTAAGAACTCGATGCGGAGTTCCGTGAAGTAAGGGCACAAGCTACCAAGGAACGATGCAAAATTAAAACGGGTGATTATACACTGGATGTGTGTATGGCAGGTCCGGATGTTAGCCGAATGTGCCAGATTCCTCTCCTAGACTCTCTTCCAACTGCTCCACCATCAGGTATGAATTAATACTGGGATGAAATTGTCCCTCTTTGTACAGTGGCTGTCGCACGGCGCTATCAAGCCCACCCAAGCACTGGATATCATATTAGCGGCACCGGCCAGTCCCGAACATAACTTAGCCCGACGAATTGTCAGATGTCAACGGGAAGTGCGCGTGCGCGCCGGACACGGAAAGCTAAAGAAATGGAAGAAACCCAGAAAGCCGGGAATGTCCGAAGGTCATTTCCATTGGGCCGTGCGACCGGACCCCGGAAACCACCTGTGAGCAAAACCATCAAGGATAAGAATGAAGCGACCACCTTGAACAAAAAACTCCTCGACCGGTGGGTCGAATACTTCCAACAACAGTTATCGAGGCCAGCAGCCGCCATTCATCTGAAGACCACAACGATGATAAACCTTGGACAGCGCTTGTCTGATCCGTTTGCCAACACTTGGGAAAGAGAGACTGTCCCAGAAAATTGGGGAACAGCAGTGATAGTGCCCATTTCCAAAGAGAGGCTCGTAGTGAATGTGATAACCACAGGGAGATCAGCTTGACCCCGATCGTAACGAGATTGTTGGCGTCAATTGTGGTTTGTCGCCTTATGGTGGCCCGTGAAACACCGGCTCCAGAGCATCAAGCAGGATGCCGAACTGATAGGGGTTGTGTTGGCAGGACCTTCACAATCCGTCAGGTGCTAGAACACAGTCATATGTACAAACGACCAACAATTTTAGTATTCCCGGACTTCCATGGCGCATTTGACTCAGTTGACCGGTCTGTTCACCTTGACACACTTGCCCACCAAAGACTGCCCCGGAAGTTTGTGAACATAATAAGTTCTTCGTATTCTCAGACTTCCGGACGCGTGGGAGTATACCGAGAGCTCTCCAAAAGCTTTCGCACACAAAGCGGTGATGACCTGGGATGCCCACTCTATCCATTCCTTTTAAAATTCATGGTCGATGAAATGATGAGACGAAGACTTGAAGGTGTTCAAAAAGCCTGTGACGGTAACCTTGTTTATCTAGAATATGCAGATGACATAGTTCTCGTTTCAAAGAGGAGAAGGTGCAGGCGTTTTTGGATCAACTAACCAAACTCATCCCGTCCTTTGGTATGCAGTTTGCACCCGTGAAGTGCAAAGCCATGCCCTGAACATACAACCATTGAACAAGCCACTTACAGTTCAGGAAGAGGTACCTGGAGTTGTAGAGTATTTTACGTATCTCGGAAACCGTATTGGTTCTGATTGTAGTGCGACAGATGAGAACAGTGCACGAATCTGCAAGCCTCGGGTTTGAGACACCTATGGCGTCAAATCCGTGTATCCTTGAATCTAAAGGTACGTGTGCATAAGGCCGCGGTACGGGCTGATTTGCTGTATGGCTGTGACATGGCCTGTTCGAGCAGCGGAACTAAGACATCTTCAGGTGTTCGCCAATCGTTGTCTCAGAACCATAGCCCGTTTGGGACGGCGTCGGCGAATATATAACGGAACAGTTATAAAGCGAGTTTTCGGTTGTGCAACGGGGACTTCCATCGAAGAATGTGTTCAGTAGCAGAAGCTGTGTTGGTTAAGCCGTGTATCTCATGTGCCAAACCGCTGTTTACCGAAGAGAGTGCTGTTTTCAGTGTCCAATTCAGAGTGGCGGAAGCAGAGAGGTGACCAACGTTTGACCTGACAGCAGGGTATGGAAGAGATGACGAAACTATCGGGAACTGCGGTTCTATTCACTTTCCAAGATGGGGACCGACGTGCCTTCGTGCTATCAAATGGGTATTCTTTATAAAAAAAAATGGATAACCTGATTCATCAGGATCCAGCTGATCGGCGCGATCATTCGTCCGAATTGACATAAACTGGAATCCGGTAGCGTCCAATCTCAAGTGAATAGGATAATTCTTTATCACCAACCGTTTGAATATGGTGCTGGTGAAACACCGACGGAAGGACTCTTCCGCTGTTATTCTCAGATATATGAAACAGATCGACCTGACCCGAACCCATTGAATGATGTATACAGTGGTCGGTGCTTGACATTACCTCTTATTCAACCCTGCCCCTTAAGTCCAAACAGGTGATAATGACATCTCGTAGGACGATCCTGATCCGGCCACAATAAAACCGGTACGGAATAAGGGCGTCGTCAAGTAATATGAGGAGTTTAGCATAGCCCTGGGCGGGCAAAGCTTCTGAATAATCTATCGAGAAGTAAGTTAAAATGTCATTCTTGAGTGATGAGCAAGATAGGACATTGCGCACGTGAAATTGGCTGGAATTTACACACCCTGCACTCTTGCACTATCATGCTGTACGAACTTTCGGTGGCATACGTTGAAAGTTCGAATAGGGAAAAACTGATGGCCGTCACGGCACAACAGTCTGGTCAGGAAGGCTTATGAATGGAGGACGACAGACTAGTCAACATGGACAAACATACTATGTAGATAGGTGACCAGTAGACGAATCCTAAGGGCGTGGCAGCGTGTCTAGGGAAACTCATTCGCTATTCTTGTGTCTTCCGAACTACAACACTCATGTTCTGCTCTCTCTCTTCAAAACTCTCTCTTCACACATGTCAGAAGGGCAATTTAGCAACCAATTCAGTTTAGTTGGTACCAGAGGTTGTATTCGCAACAGTTTTGTTTGCTAATGGTACTGAGGATACAAGCAATGGTTCGATGCGACGACATGATCGGTTCACTGTAGACCAAATCGACGAAAGGAGGTTGCGGTGCTACTCAAGCGCTCTACACTTTCAGTGGATGATGGCTGGGATAGCCACGTGATGCAGGTAGTCCACCAACCATGTGATTGTGCCGTGTCGCTAACTCCTAACCTGTCTCGGTAGTGGATCCAAATCGGAAACGGCAAGGAGGAACGATTGGGCCCAATTTTCGGGGATTTCACACTTCGTTGTGGACTCGAAAACCATCGACTATGGATCGTCCTCGCTCTGCAAACACCTGGTCCCCTACATATGGACTAATAGGCCTAGCTGCCTACAAATCTTCCATGTGTTGAAGGCAGGAATCGAAACCTCAGGGATCATATCGACGACAACGTTCAGGAGGAAAAGCAAGAAACTGCCTCCTGGACCTACACCACTAGATGTGATCAATCTACAGTTGGGCTGAGAACCAGTCGTTTTGATTTAAGGTATGCATGTACTGCCTGCAGTTAGAAAATCACACCCAGTGAACCATTCGCTCTAAACAGATTCTCCTAGCCCCAAAAAACTGCGATCGAAGTACGGCGGTGTATCAGTCGGTTGATAGAACTGCGCTAAACGGTCATATACGCTTTGCTTCAGACACTAACGGAACAAACCGATTTGTAGTCCACTCACTGTAACAGGGGTCCGATCGATAGTACAGTGCAAATTTGACACAGAAAAAGGTGATCCCGCCGTCAGGTAAACACTCACTTGATGCAGTTTTGATGAACAGTAGCTAAGCGGGAACTTGTATTATCGGTGGTCGCCATTCGATCGATATCCTGAAACTTCTTCATTGCTGTGAGCTTCTCTGAAACCTTGCTTTGGTCTTTCACATCCAACTGGAAATGCGCCGTAAAAATACGGAGACAGTTACCAACTGACTAACAGAATTCGGCAGAGTTTTGAAAATGGAGTTGACTATAAAACTTAGGTGCCCTGGATCTTCAATCGATGAACAGATTGGGCTGCGGTCAACAAAATCTTCCAAAAGTACTAATGTTTCTATGCAAGTAATCTTGTCAAATGGATGAAGGTATGCATGCAAGACATGCCTATGCCCATTATCTGAAATCAAGATAAGGAAGCCATAAAAAGTTGGTATTTTGAGTTTCAGGGAGGTTTGGTAAACAATCGGTGGATTTGTTGCTGGGCAACGTTTCGCTTTTGACACAAAAGCTTCGTCAGGCCAAGTGAGTAAGTAGGTTGATTGGGTTTTAAGGCAGTCAGGAAACCAATCCGTGAGATTCCTTATGACTTGATCAGTGCTGGGTGTTGGTTAGCGGGGATGACTAAGATTTGGTTAGGGGAGGTTCGTCTCATGATGGACTCAGGCAAAAAACTTTTGCCGAGTGGCCAAGAAGGTGTGAGTTAAAAATGCTTTATCGATCTTTCTTCCGGATCTTTTGGATGACTTTTATCTGGCCACAAAGAGCTTAATGGGTTTATACTGTGCAAAAAGACTGGTTTTGAGACACGGCTTCTAGCACGCACTGATTAAAGGCGTCAAAAGTGCTTAGTGCAAGTATCTCCACTCAATGCTTTGGTGAAGTTTTATCTACTAAACAACAGGTGACGTCACATTTTCATTAGAAGTTAACCCACAGCGGTTGTTATATTTTTTGCCCATGTTTTGCGTTGATCGCGTCATTTGAGCGAGAATTCCTGAATTTGATGTTGGCACTAATAAAGCTTCTACACCACAGTTGTCTCCGGTATTTGGAGTAGACCCAGAGCGTGGAGCTACCTCTTATATAATGTATCTTTCATTCCTTCGACCCCCTGCACACTCCTAAAACTCATTGTTAGCTAGATGCATAAAACTGTTGCTTACTTTGGAGGCCGTGAAGTGCAAGTGTCCCGCGATATATCTAAATCCTTGGAGCAAATTTGTGGAACAGTCTCAGATGGCTCTTAGTCTTCTTTAAGCAAGAACTGGGGTGGTTCCTGTTTTGTCCAGTATTTTGACCAGGCTAAGTGCCATAAACTCTGAGTATTTTGTAGACTAAATCCGGAAATTGCTGCCAACATCAGTGGTTTGGGCGCTGAATAAGATGGTGTGACGTGGACTCAAGAGTAGTGCGTAACAAGCGGAAATGATTTGTGTCTGGTTGTTTTTGTCCCGCACATTTTGCACACCAGGGTCGAGTTCCAAACGTAGCTTGCAGCCGTTGCCTTACGAAAGCATATAGATGTTTTTGTGCAGCAGTATATTTGGTCTCTAATATTTCCCAAGAAAAGGTATCTTTTCAGAGGGGTTTGGTAAACAATCGGTGGGCAACGTTTCGCTTTTGACACAAAAGCTTCGTCAGGCCAAGTGAGTAAGTAGGTTGATTGGGTTTTAAGGCAGTCAGGAAACCAATCCGTGAGATTCCTCATGACTTGATCAGTGCTGGGTGTTGGTTAGCGGGGATGACTAAGATTTGGTTAGGGGAGGTTCGTCTCATGATGGACTCGGATTTTTCGTCCTTGCTTTTTCAGTCTAGGATACCTTAATGGAAAATTGCTCTTGGGGTCGTTCACAGATTTCATTCACCTGTGTTCGTCAAAGAGTGCTGGGACAATTGGTTTGGGGATGGGGGTGGGGTGGTTAATTGGATCTAACTCTATTTGTACTCTTGTACTTTTAAACCCAGACCATTTCGCTGATAACTGCACACCGCCTCGTGTCATCTCGGCTGATCTAAAATCGCTCTCCACACGCTTGCCAGTTCTACGCTGGGATGCTTGGCGATTTCCACCGCCTCGGTCACCCGCCGCTGTGGTGTGAATTTTAAACTCCGTCTCAGGATGTTCACATTTTCTAAGTCTATCCTATGCCCAGTGTCTAGAGCATGCCCTACCATTGCTGAGTCTTTGACTAACGCCTGGTATTCCTCTGCGTTTTTCGGTGGTCTGTTAATGGAACGCTTATGCTCACCGATGCTGGTGTGCAATTCCCTGGCTGTCTGACCTATATAAACCTTCGTACAGTCGTTACATTTTATTTTGTATACACAGTTCCTAGTCCTATCAACCGGAAGGCGATCCTTCAAATGCACCGACAGCGAGCGTAAAGTTTTCCCCTTCTGGAAAGCTACTCTAATGTTAGCCGTATTCAGTACCCTTCTAATGACTTCAGACCTGTCTGTTTTGTATGGAAGGACCGCTGTTCCGATCCACTCTTTATTGGGCCTTGATGTTGGCACCAACACCCATCTTAGTTGCCGTACAGAGTGACACCTACGGCTGGCTACGAAACCACATGTAACAGAGAATGGTGCTATTGCACAACAATTATGGTTTATCCGGGATGACAGGTATCTTGGAATTTTCATGTATTGGAGATGTGTGTTGCGTATTCACATGCAACGCTGAGCTGCATTTGCGTATCGATCCAGTACGACAAGAACGACCAGATCAATAGTCCTCGTAAACTGACATCGTGTAGAAAATAATACAGAAATCAATGAGAGGAAAGGAGCTTAGTATTAAACTGTGCACTCACGCACAGCTATTGTAGATGTCGATCGTATGGTATGATAAATTGGGACTGAGTGAAGGATGAAGCGGTAAAATAGGTGACCCGGATTTCGCATCAGGATCTAGCTAATCTGACAAGTGCCACAAACGCCGATGTGAAACGGTCAGGTGATCTCCAGGGCATTTGTTTGAAAAGTCGAGGCGTAAGTGAACCACGTTTATGTTTTTTAGCAGTGGAACGGCTAAATTCAAGTTAAACAAACCTTAACAGGTGTTAGCTGGGAGTCATTTTTTAAAAGTCAGGTGCACTCCAGTAACTGGTAATGATGGTTGCATTGTCTTAGATGTGGAAGTACCGGACTGCTTTTTATACGTAGTGTATAAGAAAGACAAACACAGACGGGTTGATTCGAATGAGGGTACCAGTACAACATAAATCTCCAGTGCGAATTTAGTGTGGGCATAAGAATACAACAAAACGGAGGTGACTCGCCGGATAAAGCGAAATTTTGTGGCTTTGCCAAGCGATTATGCACATGCCTTATGCACAGCTGGGGGACGGGGGGACATAATGGTACCCACTAAGGAGAACCTTGGGATACGGTTCTCAAATTACTTTGATTCAGGCTTTCACAAAGATAGCGAAAACGAAAGAACGATTTGGCTAAACTTGAAACCAAAAGGGTAGGTTAAGGAAGACAGGTCACGTGAGGCTTCCGTTCATAGCTCAGTGCCACGCATGAGCCCACCGCGCGTGCTAATGCTGAACAAGCATCCAAAACAGTAAACATATAAAGGCAAAATACCCTCGAATCGATTTCTGTGCGATACAGATGGGTAATCATATTTTTGACATTAAGAGGTTAACAAAAAAATAACACCAGTGAAATCAGTTGGAAGGATATCCGAATACTACTAAAACCAATTGACTTGATAAGGGCACATATGAATGCCTGGTATCCTAATGAGATTTGCCGGCAATGAGTTGTGAAACCACGGAACGCCTGCGGTGAGTCGAATGTGATGCTGCGGGCTAGCTTTTGGTGTCAACCCATACCTCAGGGAACAAGATCGGCGAGCAAACTTTTAAAGGTATGTTGCAAGCCACTGGATATTGACATCAGTTGCAGGTACATGCAGCCATCATCGAACCATGTATTGTTTTGTGATCTTTCTTACTCTTCAAACGAAAACCAAGAATGTGTGTAGGATTGTGGGGATGAACCAACTCAAGTCGCATAACATAGCACTGTTTACGAGATCTATTTTACAGCAAGACGTCCTGACATTTTTCATACCATGCTTAGAACGAGAAGACACGATGAGAATACCAGTGTCAAAATGGAAATCCAGAGAACGACTCGATGTCACGGGTTGTTCAATTCCTGACAAAGAACCGAGGAGTTTCATACCTCTCCGTTCAGCTTGATTTGACAAAAAGCCACCTTTCAAGTTCTACCGACACAGCTTAAAATTGCCGCAGGATTTGATCTGGAAATCTTTTAACTACCCTGAGGCGAGACGGTATAAACACATCCAATTTTCGTTGGCGGACACATGGAAGACTGCATACGTAGGGAAGCTTACAGACGCATGTTTACCAGCTTTATTTAGCGCAGCTAACCCGAGGGTTGTTTTCTTGCACCAGCTCCCCAGGTGTTATGCAGATGTTATTCCCAGTCGATATGTGTTGATTGACAGGATCGGTGGTGATGCGCACAGAGATTGAAAAGTTTTCATACATCAGCTTGGATAACTCATTCGCAGTGCCCTAGCGATAGGGGCGGGAGGCAGCACATTGTATTTGTATCCATAACTGAAAAATACACTTATGAGCGGGAAAATGCCGGATAAAATTTCAGGAATTAACCTAACCTGAAAACCCGACAAATAAGCTTAGAAACGCTGAAGATGTGATCTTTCGTGGATTAGGTAAGTAGTACAGTACCACTTGTGAGTAGTTTCCTTTATGAAAATATACTGCGATATCTCGAATATCGTACCAACTGAAACATGGGGCGGCAGCACATTCAGTTGAAGAACATCATAAACAAGAGTCTGTCGTGAAAAACGAATTGATTTGCGAATGAGTATATTTGTCGGAATCAGTTCAATATTGGTTCAAGTACAACATAAGGTTGACGGGGGAGTGCGCCTACCTGATGGGCCTCAAGGGCGAAACCGGTCATGGGCTGTCGAAGAGTTTTCAGCAACCTTGTGAGTAGTGTCCTTTATGAAAAGAACCCAACTTACCTTACAGCTCGTATTTACAAACTGACCCACCGGTGCACAACCACAGGCTCAACTTGATTGCACTCTCCCTTCTTCGTGTTGCATTTCTAGTGATACGGAACTGTGACCCACAGACGTACTTTACTTCGGAAGGTCCGCCCAACCATTCATATTAATCCCTGGCTTTAACAGCTTCAAATTCCTGGGAGTGAGCTTTTCCTTCAATCTTACGGGGACTGCTCACGTTCCGAGGAAATTCACTTTCCCACTTAGCTTCACCCACAATTCCAAATATATTATACATTCTCCGCCGTTTTGTACTACTCTCCCGTCATTTTCCTTCCTTCACCTAAAAAGATCTAAAATTCGCTTCCCTGGGGACAGGTCTCATTTCCATTTCCGCACTTGTGTGACTCCTGTTAAACACGTTCATACGGTGTGCACACTATTTCGCTCAAGTCAACTTATTGACGTATCTGGTCCTCTCTATTCAGCTTCGAATTTGGCAGCCGTACAAGGGATGCATTCCAAGATATACCTGCCCGTAGTTCTCTGTACAAAAGTTCAATTATTCCGGTTTTAGCTGGTTACCCCACTAGCCCTGAGACTGTCAGTGCTCAGTTTCAGATAGCCTTTCCCAGTTAGTTGCCTTTTTCTGGCTCTCAATTTTTCTATCCCCAATCACTCTTGCGACGAAAACAGGGCGACATCCTGGTACTCAGACGGGACTTTGTGAAATCTATCTATCCATCTACCTTAGCAGAACATACTAATCCGATATTGCCCCGTTGGCGCACATCATGCACATTGTACTTGATTAGGCTTCATTAATATGTAAACTTTCGATAACCTGCGTACCAGTTCCACAACGGCTGCGATAAATTAGCCGAAAGAAGTATGATGAGGAACAACACATCACCAACTGTATTGGGACAATAATCCTTGAACTCGCACAAGCCAGTAGGTTGGAATGAATGGAAGCATGTGGTGACGAAAAGGTCACAGTAAACAAAGATGCCGGGTTTAAATAGGCAAACATGTTAACTTGACCGCCAAGACAGCAGGTGGATGAAAGTATAAGTAGATTCGACAGCGTACACCACCTATCCATCGACGATACTCAACCAGCTATTGGGTACGCTTCTGTGATTTCAGTAAGGCTCTGACTGACGACGCTTCTGATATATTTTTCTCAGGGATCAAAGGCGCATTAGAGCACCGGAACGCCAGGAAGGACAAGTGTACCAGTATCTTATGCTGTTCGTTGGGGACTAAGGTAAGCTTAAACGAGCAAACTGCACACAGTTCGAGCCCAACTAAAATGGGCCGATTGAAAACTTTTCATATTAAAGTCAAAGCTGACATACCTGATGAACAAACTGAACACCATCCGCTGAGTAACGAAACGCATACGGACAGCAGTCATAACCTGCACAAAGGAAAGTACTCGGCCCGACCCATAGACAACTGATGAAGGGTAGAAACTCAGATCGGTAGCAGGTAACAACTGCCGGTCCACATTTGGCACCTCTGCTGGGACTCGTGTCACTCACGTCAGCGACGAAAACCAAAGAGTTGTGTTTCGTCCAAACAAGTTTATTGCCATCGGCCGAGAATGATGCGCCAAGGACCCAGCCACCTGGAAATTGGGAATGAAGTAACGAAAAATAAATTGGATACAGGGTATGAATGACTGATTGGGAGAATAAGAAAACCAGGACGGAACTTAACATGCAACTGGTGTGACGAGAAAGAGAAAAAATTTAGAAAAATGCGCAGAACCTATGAACCATCGGAAGTCGAACGAGACTAGGAATAAATAAAAAATGGACTGAAAACCCTCAACTTGTTGAAATCAGAACACGAAAGCTTCCGATTAGCACTTGCCCGATCAAACAGAGGTAAATAAAGTCGCCACTCCAGAAAACCGCAAGGAGTAAGCGACCAAGGCGCGACGAACGACACCAAATTCCATATTGAAAGATATATTGGACCACTGATGTGAAGATTTGGTTGCTCTTAGATTGGTAGAACGCTCGTTAGTCACGTCCACATGCTTGGGAGTCACTGATCGCCGGTTCGTATCGTATGTTAGTATCTATCAGAATGCACTCCCACTAGCAGTGACGCCTGCAGAAGAAGCAACCAATGGAACTGAATAAGATCGTCTGAAAGCAACGCTAACTAGTACTGCATAGGGTGGCTGAGGTGACCGCCGTGGTCATTATGCATTGTCTAATAGATGTCGGGCAGAAAACTATGGTGCATTTATTAAAGCTCAGTCTAGCAAAGGCAAAATTGTTCTATATTAACAGGCTTCAATTCGATTCGAGTGAAGTTCCACGGAACCTAGGGTGAATTTCTATCAACAAGTAAAAAACTTCATTCAGAAGGTGAAAAAACGGACATAAATTCAAGTAAAAATAACGATTTAACCACCATCAGCTCTAAAAGTGAAGCTTATGAACAAGAAGAAGGGCCGAGCAACAAATAAGATAACTATAATGGGTGAAAGTTATGGTATGCGGTAGTTTGTAAGTGGAATTTTCACACATAGACGTGTCGAATCACAGAGGAGGCGAAGAATGTCACAAAGCTCTTTGGGAGGAGTTGGAGCGGGATTTAAAATGCTTAGTCGTTGCAGTGTCCACAGACGTTCACTGGAACTCTACTCAGCCAAGAGATATGTTCTGAAATATCACAAGTCCTCGAGAGGCGACATGTGGGAGCAATAGGTCCAGTTACTGGGGGTAGACTATTGAAGGACCTATAGATCGGATTCGGGGAGAACAGAAAGGGTTCCCAGATGTGAAACCCTACTAAGGATAGTTTTGATGGGGAATAGGGCGACTGAGTGTCAAAAAATACAGGTTTCCGTCATATTTAAAAGCAGACTGGCTCCAAAGTGCGGTCTGTCTAACGTGCGAATCGGCCAGATGGTTCCTTGGCGTTGAGCCCGATTGCACCCAGGTCCGACGACTGGCACTTCAGACTCTCAAACCCAGAATGTCGCATATGCTCCATGACTTCATCATGAGGTTTGTCACTTAAGGTCTTTTCAAATAGGATCGATTGTTCACCTGTTGTATTCTGCGGAGTGCTTGAGAAGGAAAATGGCCTCATTGTGGAACAATGGAGCACATTGCTAGGGGCAGTAGAGTATCAAAGGATGAATTTGTCAGTTTTTTTTAAAAATTTACCGAGCATACTACCTAATGTTCAACATCCTCTTCTGCGTTCGGTTGTTTCAAATTCTAACACCTAGTAAAAATCCAAACGCATCTTTACTTGCAACGCAAACTTCCACAACTCCGTCCGCCTTTAAGTAGTCCACTGTTTAATTAGTACTGCCTTTTTCGATAGGCAACTTGATAATACAGCTCTCAGCTGGATGAACTATGCACGCTCCTCTCCCTCCAGTACTTTCATGTTTTTAACATGTTAAATTGCCGCGGGGATGCATCATGAACCGATCAGAACGAGGCCAAAAATTCAACATTCCTCTTCGGATACCGGAGGTTCTCACATATTGATTCATGAAATCTACGGTGAAGGAGTTGAATCCAGCCTTAAGACTGAGGCAGCTAAAACATGAAACCACTGATCCGTGGTTCGAATCTAATCTCGGCATTTTGATTGCCCCTGTCTAGAATTGGACAGACACCTTTGCAGTATCCCAACCCTCGTGCTTCCTTCAAGTTGCACGACAGCTCAGCACTGAAAAGGTACTACGTAAGAAAGTTTATGATTTCTTTTTCAGGATCAAAGGCCCCTTCATTATGATAGTTTCTATAAAAAATAACCTTCGCAACGTACAGTTATCTGGCTTCACAAACAACAATGGGGACCGACTTGTAAATAAATGATATAACGTTAGAGTGGCCGGAGAGGCAACAGAAATGCATGACCACACTGAAGATCGAAGTCATTTTGGGAATTAGTGAAAAAGAATGAAAGAAGCAATGGTCCAAAACTTAAGACAATCTGCCCAAGTCATCCAGCTCGACAGAATAAACACCGGATATAGCCAAGCGCGGTATATCTTAGTAATGCCAGGAGGAAAAACACGAGTAAGCATCAACTACGATAGCACATGCAGTCTTACAAAACGTCGAAATATCTTATCAGGAGAAGGATAAAAAGCACTGGTGGATTACGAAAGCACAACATTCATGCCCAATTTCGGCTCCAGCAGAAGGATTTGTTAGAGATATATCACCCATTCGTTCCTAGAATCAGCGTTATAACTGATGAGCTCAACGCTTCCAAGAACTGCTCAGCCTGCTCTCTTCAACACTAGAACTCCAAGAGCCGGAATGGAAAGTGGACAATGAAAATCCGACGCAAGATATGGCTTCTCCGAGGCAAGAAAGTATCCGGATCGAACGGCTTGCACCCTTCAGAGCCTTTGTAAAAGGTTCCATCACCCTACTGGAAACTAGCTGAAAAAGACCGACGAAGTGGAGCACCGCAAACCGGATTTTAATGTTCATCCTGAAGGCCCTAGCTTTCAAGATGTTCTCCAGAATTATCTTGCAGGCGTTGAACGAATTTCGTAAGAAACGAGTTCAGGAACCGAATTAGGTTTTTCACCAGCCAAGTGTGCACTGACAATATCCTAGCCCTGAAATTAGTTCTTGAATAGCGTCTTTCAAGCGCCAACAACAGCTCCTTTCCTCAACCTGAAAGGTGCGCGTCATTCTGCGATCGTTAGGGACAGTAGTAATGTTTAACGACCAGGGATTTTCCTAACAAATTCCCATTCCTTTAAGAGGTAACACAGGCCTAATCCTGCGAGCACGAGGGTATCTACCGTGGGCTTTTGTTTAGGGTTACGTCAATGATGTCAGACCAGGGAGCCGTCGTTCACCGTCCCCTTTCTATCGTGCTCCTGATATGCTGCTTTGAAACCTATCTGCCTGCCCTTAGAATCTTGCTCACAGACAGTGAGTACGCCGATGATATTAGCTCATATCCTTCAGGGGATACAAACCATTTGAACTAACTCGACTGGTTTTGCTGCAGGGTTTGACATGCGCTTCACAAGACTGGGTAGAACCAAGCTAAAACCTAATATCTGCAGAGCAGCTAAAACTGAAAGACATATAGGCCCGAGAGACTGGAAGACAACAGAATCAAGAAAGCAACTTGCCAACCTTCGAGACCTAAGACGACGTAACGTCAATACGTCCGACGGGGACATAGTGAACACTGTCAGTGACTAATTCGTGGAAAGGTAAATGGTCCCTGTGTGCGCGAAAATATAAAGATTCTGTTTGCCGTCCGTGCAGCCGAAACATTGCGCGGGTCTGGTGAAAACAGTGAAGAAGCAATGATGATATAGGCCGTACCGTTTACGAACAACGTTTACAGCTGAAGAACCGAATTTGGACAACATAATGGTATGCGATTTTTTTATCGCTATAAATTAGAAAAATGAACCAAGCAATACGGGCTATACATAGAGCAATGGGCCAGAGTACTCCCTCCGAAAGATATAGAACACGAGTATGTTCGACTTTCGGGAATGGTGAACAGAAAATCGGCAATTTTACAGCGAAAGTGCCCCCATCTTCAGTGACGTCGAACAAGCAAATGCTGCAGTCGATTGCTCTTACAACAACGAAGACTGTGGACAGACAAAAGTGCCCACAAGTTAGATGGCAAACTCAAAGGTTATGGGATTCAGGGTTCCCTAGATTGCATCCAGTCACAACGCAAACCCACGGTAATACAGTGATGCCTCAAATGGGATTGCCATTGAGACCTGATCAAATTGTCTCCTCATGAGAGAGGCCCCTGGTATTAGGATCCCTGATATCATATATATGTCAGATAATAGTATATTACGTTACGCACAATATTTAGGGCCTCTTGTGATATTATTCTACCTGTTTGGGAAGTGATCCTCACACAATGAATAACAAACACGAGATGTCCCTATGAACCTCCATGCCTGATTGGTTCGCGGTATTCCGCGACTTTCCCCTGGTCTGTCTCCTTTGACCTGTCGTTCACTATTCCATCTTCCCTGAAGTTGCATGAACAGTCGTTCTCAGACTCGTTTTCATGTGGAGAACATTGTCCAGGATGAAGCCCATTCTATTAAAGACCATTATTGATCTATAATTGAATTGTCATGCATGTATTCCAGCGCCATCTACCGACAGGAAGACCAAATTTCAGTTCATTGTCATGCATGCTGGTGAAATGCACAGTCAGTGACTGGAACCGGTTGAAATTAGCCTAAATTGCCAGTAAATTGGTGTCCTTTCAGACCAGAATCATAAAAATAGTCGGTTCGCGTTAGCGTTGAAGGGCTTATAAACAGTCGGTCAGAAAACGGAGTTTTATGGAGTTTATGATAGGACATGATCGGACACGAATGATTCTTTTAATAGAAAATAGAATTTACGTGCCAGTCAGCAGTAAAAAGGCGCATGCACCAGGTGGAAACTTTTACGGCTTCACTAATTTTTGGTAATACCGTTATTTTCCCACTGATAATCTTTGTCGGCTTAAAATAGCTCATTAGTATCCTGTGACGTTTTTTCGGTTTTCATTTCACCTTGTGACGTGACCATCTAAAGACCTGGGCTATTTAGCTGGATTAGTAGCTGTACGACTGAGCTAGGGTCGAACAGCTGAGTTCATAACATCGAACGTAGAAAAATGACCGTTAACCTCATGTTCTATGTTATACATCATAATTTTTTGTACTACACATAAGTCATGGAGCAATCCTTTTGTACAGAGAACTCAATCGTCAAGATCATTAGTCAGTAATAATAATATTAACCGTTCATCAGTAACACCCTTCCGGTGCCTAGCTGCCATATCATCCGAAGGAAGCATGAGGGCTGCCATGTTGCCCAAGCCTAGATGGGGAAAGTCGAGATGCAGAGGTTGGGTTCGATCAGTAAGTTCGCGCTCTAACCACTAGGCCGCCTCGCCCCCTCATTGGTCAGTATCAGGAATGCACATCGATGGTGATGGTAAACTTGTCTTTTTTACATCCTGATAGAAAAGCATCGGTGTTGAAAAGTGACGTCATGCTGTCAAATGACAGTCAGGCAGAAACAATTGCGATACCAAATAGCGTTGCGTTCCCGATTTCCGATAGACAGATGGTCCTTATTGGGAGGTGGCATGGTCGGAAGCATCCACATTTTGTGAGTTTGGCACTTTACCCGGCTATTCGATGGCGAAATTCACGATACTCAGGCGAAACAGTACCCTTAGAAAGGGACCTTTATTTAGGGAACAAGCTTGGGAAATACTGTACTGCGTTTCCTCGAATTTGGGTATCTAATTGACGTCCGGATGTGATTTATACAGCAAAACCGGGATGTGTTGAGACAAACAGCAAAAAAATGAAACAAGCGAGGCATTTACCTTCACACTCGTAATGATCGAAAAGGAGACTTCCCAATGAAGAATGACTCCCCCAAGCAGACTGTGAATCTCCACTCTTGAGACGCGCAGAGTAGACGCGCATATGGAAATCAGATGAACCGCAAGCAAGAACAGCATTGTTTGGGTGCCAATCCAGACAGGTAACTGTAGACTTGAAGCTTTTCTTGATGTGTTTGCTAACCCACCAATCCAATTCTTGGTCAAAGCTGCAAACTGCAACAAGCTTGCAGCCACTGCCGACGGCAAAACTGTCCTCGAGAGGTGACCACCTGACGCAGATGGAAGCCCGATCAATCTTTCATGATTAGAAGTAACGCAGCACAACTCACCATCAAAACGACTAAAGTAGGCTTCCATTTCCCATCGCTTTGTTTTGTCCAAACGTAAGCGTTGCGATCTGCCGAGCAAGAAACTATTCTGTTGGATTTCGGCGCCCAGTCGATACCAGTGACCAGAGCAGTATGCTCTTTCAATACGTCTACAATCTGCCACTTGGTACCAGGGGATTTCGGGACATGTAGCAAATACACGTCACTCGTGTTCACGGAGACGGCAAGTAATGAACCGTCACCGTTGAAGGCATGACTGACCAAAGAATCATTACCAATAGCATGTGCAGAAGTCATCGCATAGGATGCGTGATCACTCGATTAGAAGACCAGTGGGAGTATACCAAGGTGGTTAACAAGAGACAGAGGATGCGCAGCTTATCCTTTGCCGTCTCAATAGGAGCGTCGAACGACTACAAAATGGCTGAAATGAAAGTGAAAACTTCTAGTAAGACATCGATGGCAGACGAGTAATTGGAATAAGCGACTACCATCGGCATTTGCGGACATAATTCCTCTACGGTGGTTATGGCTTGCACTGCTCTTGAGAGCAAAACGACGAATAAATAGATATTAAATAAGAAATAATACAGGAAGTAAGGAAGATCGTCTAGAAAACATGGGGCTGAACGTACAATAAGTAAAAGGCGAAACTTGTCGGGGCGGGCTGGTAAACTTGTGAACCCAAGTTCGTCACTAAGTATAACGTGCCACCGTGCAACAGCACAAACGGTGATCAACTAGGACTACTGCATTTCCTCCAACTAAGCAGATATCTGAAAAATTCGCTAGTCCAAGATCCCATTGTCAGTTGATCATCTCTTTTCGCTAGTAATTAGGTTTTCGGTACGCAAATTACCTTCGAAATGGAATTCGCCAGCTAAACATTCAGAGAACAAAGATAAGCCAACGAAGCTGTTTTTATCCAGTTGGTGGTGAAACGTGAATTCACTCCTTCATCGGGTCCAAGCATTATGCGCACAAAAAGATGACTGAAAGAAGCCAGATAGTAGAAGCCGTGATGTTTGACGAACGGGAACTCGTACGTATATGATTCGCGGAGAAGGCAAATATCAGACGATGACAGAAGTCACACAAGCATCATTAACTCTGTATTTAGTCAACAAGTGGATGTTTTTATACCGCAAACAAATAAGTTATTTGAACACACAACTTTGTACGTTGGTTCAGGCTATTCTGGTACCAGGATGCCGGTTGGGCAAAATGAGGATGGACAATAATTTAGGTCCACAAGTTTTTATGAACGGTTTATCACATGAAAGAAGTAGGCGAACCAAACAGCACCGTTGGCTACAAGAATTAGCCTTGTCGGTTAGAATGTCTAGCCATTGATAAGCCGAGTTTTTTTATACCTAAACCACAGCTCATTGTGGGTCGCCAACATATAGTATGTTGTCGTTCAGCTTTAAGACCATTTAAATGCGGGCTGGGATACTGCCAGGTTGCCCAGGCCTAGACAAGGGAAGTCGAGAGGCAGAGGTCGGGTTCGAACCACGGACCTTCCAGTTAGTAAATTCGCGCCCTAACTACTGAGCCATCTCACCCGAGCTGATTTATCTTCGATCCACTCAAATTACAGCACGAGGTTCTGGATTTAATCTCTAGCACAGAACTGTTGCGTGTAAATGATCATCACAGAAACACCAGAAAACACTGATGCTTCACTAACAACACACAACCCTGTCAATTTGTTTGAACAAAACGTTATAATAGAAAGGTTAAAAATGGAACAGGGGGGATTGCCTACGGAAACATCCAACACTTGGTCGGATAATCTGGACAGAAACTGATAGCATGAACGCCACTGACATAGGTTAGACGCCATATCGTTCACTGTCTCTAACCAGGCACGGGGATGATCACGTGGATCCCATCCTGGAAGGCGAATAACACTAACGGCACCCAAACTTTTCATAATATCCTTCATTCTCTTCTGCGACGTCATATTCTGTGCACATCTAGGTTTCCAACACTCTAAATTAGGCATGGAAAACAAAGTTCTTGGCGGGCGTTAACTCGGCACGCGTACTACATTGCCCAGCCACCTTACTTTGCAATTCTAGATAGACCATTTGAACTAGGTACCATCTGGCTTAGTAACGACCCGTTTCCTGATCACTTCATTTCGAATTCACTGATTCTAGTCGACCCGAGCTATAAATCTCAGGCATTGGTGGTCCAAGAACTGAAGATATCTTATATACTTCAAGCAAAGCGGCCAAGTCTTACAGCAGTACAATAATACAGCCCATACTGTAGTCTGACATACACGTCCCTTGAGACCAAGAGGGGCAACTTTTGAAACCAATTAGCAAGTGTAATTCCGGTAGTTGTGAATCACTTCGTTTGTCACACTATCGCCACCGAAAATGCAGGCTACGAGGCACGTTTAGAGTTTCAAACCTTCCAGTATCACTCCTTGAATTCTAAAAGGTGTGTCCAAAGTCCCACAGTATTGAATTCAAACCTTGTAGGACTCGATAATCTTGATCATTTTTTACACTAACGCGCCTTCTGTTATATCTGCTGATTCGTCAATCTGTGGTATCTGCTGCTGACCCGCTCCAGTGCCTAGTGTCGGAGAGAAAAGACTCACAGAAGGGAACACAACAGCTGTATTCCGAACGAGCAAGTGAGTGAGAGAGCAAAAGTTACAACGGCCCCACGCTATTTAGAGGGGGCTTTCTGACATTGACCCAGGCTGTCTGATAGACGTTAGTGAACACCCATCAACATCGATCGTGCCTCTGTGAAAAGCCTGAACGCTGATCACATTCAGTCGTGCTTCTGTGGTGCGCAAGAACACTCATCAGGTTTTGCTGAACTGATTGAATGATTGACTGGCCTGGATGCTTGCCGGCTTTCCAGTTGAGTTTTTGGTGGAGCAGTAGGCTCCGGGCGTTCTGAAGTTGCTTTCAGGAATCTGACCTTCCTGATACCTCCCCGTTTTGACTGTTTAACGTAAGATTTTCGACGCGGATCAAGTTGTAGGGATTCCACCCTTTTTCCGATGCGACCAGTACGGCGTCTTGGTTGCAGCAATGGATCTGTATTGAGCAGTACATGCGAGGCAGTGGCTATAGGTGCTGGTCTTGGGGGATCAAAGGGTTCAAGCAGTAGGTTGAGGTCTAGTAACTGTTCTTCCGCCTTTGGGATCTGGCACTCAGTCGGCCGTAATTGATTGACATGTCGTTTCCATATCAATGATCCCACCTGGACGCTGTAAATCACCTGACCGATTCTTTTGAGGATGGCTCCAACAGTCCATCTTCGGTACCCGGGGCGATAGCCCCTGACAAGCACACGGTTGCCAGGCCGGAATGTTGGTTTTCCTCCTGTCTGTGTTTGAAAACAAGTACGTGTTGGTAGGATAGCGTCATGGGTAAGCCTCAACCGTCTGTTCATCATAACCTCTGCTGGAGAGCAACCGTCCGGAGACTGTGGATTAGGGGTTGCTCTATAGTTCAGTAGGAACATATCCAGCACTTCTGTCGTGGTCCCCTCCCCTTCTGCTTTTGTCAACGGACGTTCAAAGGTGGCAACGAACCGTTCAGCTTGACCATTTGACTGGGGATGGAATGATGGAGAAGTAACATATGTGGTGCCGTGTCTTCGAACGAATTCGCTAAACTGATGGGATGTAAACTGAGTACCATTGTCGGACACAATAGTTTCCGGGATACCGAATATTGAAAACAAATGTCGCAGTTTAGTGATGGTTGCCATTGTTGTTGTCTCCGACATAATAAAGACTTCAGGCCACTTACTGAATGCATCGACAACGATGAGGAAGCTTTGTCCGTTAATTGGTCCGGCAAAATCCACATGGATGCGCGACCATGGTTTTTCTGGTTGTGGCCAAGGCTGAGGTGACTGTCGGTTGGGTAACTTCTGGGCGGCTGCGCAACGGAAACAAATCCGATATAACTGCTCAATGTGCTCATCCATATCGGGCCAGTAGACATAGCTGCGAGCAAGAGCCTTCATTCCGCTTATCCCTGAATGTCCACTGTGGAACTGTGCTAGGATCCGTTGACGAAGTTCGTTGGGAATGACAATTCGGTCACCAAAGAGAAGACAGCCATTGACAACAGATAATGAACTCCGTCGCTGAAAAAGTTTCCGGAGTTCCCCTGGTGGACTGGTTGTTGGCCAGCTTGATTGGTGGTACTCCATTGCCTTTTGTAATATGCTGTCATTTTTGGTGGCATCTCGCACCGCGTCAAAAGTCACGGGTAGTTGGTTCATGGTCTCCAACACCACAGCACGGACTTCCGGTTCTGATTGGCTCCGTTTGCTTCGTGACCTCCGGGGTTGACTGCGTCTTTGGCTAGCTTTCCGCGTCCGGCACTGGCTTTCCTTGTGCCCACGTCGATTGCACACTGAACATTTGTGCTTTTTGTATGGACACAATCGCACAAAATGCCATTCGCCGCATTGCCAGCATGCTGAAGGAGGCATTGCTCCATTCGACTGTGTCACCACAGGAGGTTGCTTCGATGTCGTCTTGGCGATGTTGAAAGCAGGGTTGCATAAGGGCTTCTCCAACATGGCGCTGGCACTCATGAGTAATAGACTGCAGCGTTATCTCGGGAGTTTGTTCAATCTTGCTCAATAGTCTCCCCCTGATATCACTGTCTGAATTCGACTGAAGACCACATATGAAAATAAGGCACTTGAACTGGTCTTCTGTCATGGTAGATAACTTGAATTGTTCGCATTCAAGGTTGACTCTACCGGCATAAGTGATGTAATCCTCAGATTCCGTTTTCACCAGTTTCATACATTGGTAGTGAATATTAAACAAGGACGAATGCTCACCGAAAATCATTGAAAGTTGCTGCACGGTTTTGTCAAAACTGAGATCTCGCGTGTTCTTAGGCAGGATAAAGTTGGAATATCGTGTGTGTTCCGTTGTGCCAAGCTTTCTGAGCAATAAGCGTACTCTCCAGGCATCATCTTTGTGCTTCAGTTCGACTTGGAAAACATCTTCGTAACGTCTGAACCACGAATCGAAGGTTAGGCCGGCATCGGGGTCATAACCTAATTCAGTGATGCTGTTGGCAGTCGAGTTGACTGAATTTGTATCTGGAGCGGAATTTGGTGTTTGGATTTTAAGTTGCTGCGTCAATGTTTCCACCAAACGTAATTGTGCCGCTTCAAACTGGTTTTGTTGTTGCAGCAGGATTTCTTTCAACGCTTCAGCAGTTATTGTCATGATTCTGTGGGTTCGGTTGTCGCCAATCTGTTATATCTGCTGATTCGTCAATCTGTGG